GCTAAAGTCTAGCCAGCTGAAACCCGTTTTGAAAAACCGAGGTCCAAAAACGAAGCGTTCCCAAAAGTAAAAACCAAGTTTGAAAAACATTGTATATGGTATAAAATAGTGAAAACAAGACTTGTTTGGTAAAAACCAAGTCCTCAAGGTCGTAAATCACGTGCGTACGGTTTTGACCGTTTTTCACGTGTTAGACCGATTGACCAAGATACAAAGATGGTTTTTACAAAATAATTATTCGGGAACCTTTAAAATATGCTCAGAGATAAAAACAGGGTTTAAAATATTGAAAACCACGGAGTTGGTTCGGGCGCCAAAAAACCGAACGCCGAAAACCGAACGACGAAAGCCGAACGCCGACTTAGGTGGTTTTGGTTCTGAGCAAGGACCAGGGATTTTAATAATAAAAGAAGTCATCAAAAAATGTCTGTTTTGATGCACAAAAAATGTTTTATGGTTTGTAAAAATTGTTTTGACTTTTTGAGAACCGAGACTTGAATAAATTGTCGGTTTTGATCACAAAAGACCGACTCGACTAAGTCTTCAATTCTTGATCTTGTCCTTGAGTCTTTTAGGTCTTGTTCCAAGCCATTCTTCACGCCTTGAGTTATTCAACGAAACTCTTCATATCCACGGCGGTTTGGCAATTATCAAAACCTGTCAGAAATGAACACGACTTTAGTTTAACGTGCAAAGTGTGTTCCAACACTTTCCCCCTTTTGAAAACAAAAAAGCGTAAATATTAGAAACCCGCGGCTAGGACGGGTCGACCCGGGTCGGCGGTTTTGCCGGGTCTGCCAGTTTCCACCAGGTCAAAAGAAAACTGGGTTTTGAAATTGGACCGGACCGTGAAGCTCACTGGTTCGCGGTTCGACCGGTCAGACCGGCCGGTCCGGTCCGGTTTTAAAACCATTGGTAGGAAGGAGGTGGTCGTGGGCGAGAGACGTGGCGTCTGTCATGTAAATCATGACAAACTTCGCTAATTGATCGGTGTTGAGTCATGATTGCATGAAGAAGCTTGAGATCCTAGCGGACATGATCGTGTGCCCGTGCTTCTGGTGTTTGATGATTCGGGACACGATGTAGAGGATGAGACGGCTTTCGGTGGTAGCGGAGTGGATGGTGGGGCGACATGTGGCATGGCGAATAAGGTCGGTGATGCCAAGCTCGTTAAGGACCAACCCCTCGTTATTAATCACCCACTCCTCTCCACCATAGGCAAAGACGTCATCACCTTGGGAGGGGAGGCCGGCGATGCGCCCAAGTTGCTCCACCGTGAGCTCGATCGGCGTCGACTTAACGAGGCTATAGAGAACAACGTCTTCACGCCGGAGATTTGAGTAGAAAACCTGAAACAGCGCCGGGTTGATCTCCTTCCGGGCCTTTGAGACGAAAGGCCACAACCCGGATTGGTGCAGCTATGTGTCGAGGGTGTCGTAGCCGAGCTTCTCCGGGAGTCATTCCGGGAGAGTCCTCGGCGGCGCCACAACTTGCTTGGAGAAGAACGTGAGGAAGCGGGCTCGTTCTTCCTCAGTGTCGAACCACAGGTACGACCCGTCTTGATAGTAGAACTGGTTATTGGAGGTCATTGCCGGAGCCCGGGATTTGGACTTGGATTTCCCAGAGGTGGCTACCCTACTTTTGTCCTTGCCCATTTTTTGAGAGGCTTGAAGAAAAAAGGTGTAGAGATGATGAAATATGCAAGTAGACTGAGAGAATGGATGTTTGTGTTTGTAAAAGTGAAGGGAAGGGGTCCAAATATATAGAGAGTAAGGTTTCCAACGTTCAAAATTTCAAAAACATGGCTGTTGGAGCATTTAATTCAGTTCCCAATGAATTTTTTTTTTTTGAAAAAATTGAGTTGAACAGCGATGTTGAGCCCCTGTACATTGCTGTTAAGAGATAAGTTTATAACTAGTTGAAAAATTGACAGCAATGTTCAAACTCCTACAACGATGTTCCAAAAGTTCCTGGAAATGATTAAGTAGTTGAACCCTTTAGAACAACGCTGTTTCAAAACACTACATCGCTGTTTTACGATAAGAAGAAAAATTTGTACAAGTGGACAACGATGTTGCATAGGTGTACATCGCTGTTGAAAAAGTTTTTGGTTTTGGATGAGGAACGTACATTTTAAAGGACGACGATGTTGGAATAGCTACATCGATGTTATAAAACTTTCTGGAAATAATAGAGTAAGGGAACTCCCTGTGACAGCGATGTTGATTATAATGACATCGCTGTTGGTCCAAGTGATGTTGACGGTGTTTGCTTCAACATCGCTGTTGAGTCTCTGGACATCGCTGTATGGATAGCGATGTTGTCTTCCAGACAACGATGTTGGCATGGTTCCCCCTGGTTTTTGTAGTTGTTGCTTACCTACAAAGTAGCACTTTGGTACCCAAAATATGTCTATGGGTCTTTGGGGGTTAGTTAATTTTTATTGCCCACACACACACCCAAAATTCATTTTCATACGCACACACACGATTAGATGATTGTTTAGGAGTTACCTTGGCCAACCCGTCGTCTCGTGGTTGGCGGGTTCCAATCTACCTGAACGGAGTGCCGATATCTCGGTGTGATTTGTGTGGGTTCCGGTAACGGAATATGGACTTTCTTCTTTTCGTCAAAGTAGAAGAAATAGTAAGGTTTCTTTTGTGCATTATCCTGTGGAGATTGTTTATGGCGCAAATATTCTTTTCCTAAGGATTTCTTTTTGTTAGCACCAAACATGTTGTGTGTTTTATTATAGGTGCAATGTCTATGTCTGGTAAAACACACGGGAGCTATATGTCCTACCCTATTGCAATAATGGCATACTACGTTTGGGTTGAACATATACCTAGGTTGATAATAGCTAGGGGGCCTAACCATGTTTGTCCTATTTTGAGGAAATGATGGGTTATGCATGTTTTCAAAAGGATCATTTCTAGGTGGTCTAACATTATTTCTCCTATCTTGTGAAAAATTAGATTTATGTGTAAAATTGTTTTGATAATCATTTCTAGCATGTTGTCTAGTGTTCCTAGTATTGTTAAGTGATCTATTATTCTGATTTTTGTTGTTTCTAAGTTGAGCCTTAAGTTGGTTAGGTGGATGCTCAACCTTATCATAATTTTTGCATTTACCAAAACATATTCCTTCCTTAGTGAATTGCATAGAACCAAGAATAATATTAAGATCTTTATTTGGTGTATTAAACCTCTTAAGCATGTCTTCAAGTTTTGCAACTTGTTCTTTTAAGGCTTTGCAAGACTCACATCCGTTGGAGAAGTTCTCCGGTTTATCGACACTTCTTTTACCATAAAATTTATTTTATTGTTTCAAATTTTCATTTTCTGTTTATAGTTTTTCAAAATCGTTTTCGATAATAGAAAAACGTTTCTTCAAGGATTTATTTAATTTTGAAGCTCCGACAAACTCTTGATAGAGTTGTTATAGTGCATCTTGCATTTCCTCAAAAGAGTAAGGTTTAGAGGGAGGTACATACCTCTTCGTTGTCGGAGGTTGCTGGTGAGTCTTCCTCGTGTGCCACAAGGCATAGGTTTGCTTTTTCTTCCTCTTCCCCCTCAGTGCTTTAATCGTCGGAATCTCCTCCCCAAGATATGTATGCCCTTTGCCTTTTGAAGTGACGAGCATTCCTTCCACTTTTTGGGCATTTGTTCTTGATGTGTCCGGCTTCACCACATCCATAGCACACATGGCCATCCTCAACTTTTTCTTTCTTCCATAGAAATTTACAAAACTTCTTCATGACAAGCTTGACTTCATCATCGTTGCTTGAGCCATTCATCTTCGGCTCTTTGACGAATTTTAACGCTATGCCTTTCCTATGGTCATTCAAAGACGGGTTAAGTATAGTGGATTCATAAGTTTTTAAATTACCTCTTAAGCCGTCATTGGTGACATTGGATGCGCCGATTGACTCATAGATGGCATCGGCCTTAGATCGCCATTCGGATGTCAAGCTCCGTAGGATCTTTTGCACAAGATCCCTGTCGGTGTAAGTCTTCTTCAATGCATGAAAATTGTACATCACTTGGACCAACAGCGATGTCATTATAATCAACATCGCTGTCACAGGGAGTTCCCTTACTCTATTATTTCCAGAAAGTTTTATAACATCGATGTAGCTATTCCAACATCGCCGTCCTTTAAAATGTACGTTCCTCATCCAAAACCAAAAACTTTTTCAACAACGATGTACACCTATGCAACATCGCTGTCCACTTGTACAAATTTTTCTTCTTATCGTAAAACAGCGATGTAGTGTTTTGAAACAGCGTTGTTCTAAAGGGTTCAACTACTTACTCATTTCTAGGAACTTTTGGAACATCGCTGTAGGAGTTTGAACATTGCTGTCAATTTTTCAACTGGTTATAAACTTATCTCTTAACAGCAATGTACAAGGGCTCAACATCGCTGTTCAACTCAATTTTTTCAAAAAAAAAAATATCCGTTGGGAACTGAATTAAATGCTCCAACAGCCATGGTTTTGAAAATTTGAACGTTGGAAACCTTACTCTCTATATATTTGGACCCCTTCTCTTCACTTTTAGACACACAAACATCCATTCTCTCAATCTACTTGCATATTTCATCATCTCTACACCTTTTTTCTTCAAGCGTCTCAAAAAATGGGCAAGGACAAAAGTAGGGTAGCCACCTCCGGGAAATTCAAGTCCAAATCCCGGGCTCCGGCAATGACCTCCAACAACTAGTTCTACCATCAAGACGGGTTGTACATGTGGTTCACCAACTTTTTTCGTTCTTCTCTTTTTCTCTTATCTTCACTCTTTTCTTATCATGATCTTCTTCTTTGCTTTTCTTCTTTTTTTTCTTTCTTCTCCTTTCCTCTTCTGATTTTTCTCTCTAAATTGAGAGCCGTGAAGGATTGGAGTAAAGGTGGCCGGTGGTGCAGCGAGGAGGTGGCAGTGATCGGAGGTGATAGGGCTGTCCCGATCTCCTCTTCTTCTTCTTCAATTCCCACAGTCCAACACCCAATCCATCTTCAAATCTTCTTCTTTCTTGTCCATCTCTGTCAAATCTGAGAAGTTCAATTCAGATATGTGAAGGAGGTCAGATCGACAAAGAAATTGAAGGTGGTGACGGAGTACCATCGTCGATTGATGATGGCGTGTTGGATCGGAGGGAGGAGTCCCAAGTTTCTTCCTTCTTCGTTTTTATTTTTTTATTTTTGAAATTGAAGGAGCACGCAAAGGGGATGGCAAGTAGTGTGGCGGCGGCCGGAGTTGACGAGGTAGACCATCAAGGTGGCCATTGGTGATAGTGGCGGAGCAGCGAGGAGGTTCTGCGCTGGGAGGGTACATCCGAATGTACAGATAGAAAATTGGGTGGAAAGGAAAAGAAGACAAGAGATGAGGGATGGAGGGGTATTTTAGGAAAGTCAGAAAAAATTTTAAGTTTTATTAAACTCTGTGTCAAGTCAAAGTGGGAATTTTAATCTTGGACAGAGAGAATAACTAAATATACTTTTTTCATAATTCGTGGTAAAAAAGTATCACAGTTTGATCAAAAAAATCAAATTGTGGCATTCTTTTAGAAGCGTTGGGAGTACAAATTAAACCTCCTATTTTTTGTCTAGAAATAAGTTGGATGGGGGACCATATATTTTCCAATTATTATAATTAAACTTTACAAAAAATCAAATGGGAAATTTATTTTTGATGGGGGAGGAATGTTTTAAATTTTATAAACGGGTCCTAGAAAGTCATGTGAACTCGAATCACATCAATTGCTAAACCGGTTCCCGAATATTTTTATCCGGGCAACATTGGAATGTTGGGCTGCCCCACTCGAATCAGAATCCTCGTTCGGGCAGAACACCAGAGACCCGTACAAATAAAATAAATACACCAAAGCAACGGTTCACAAATTGGAATTGAAAAAAAAAACAAACAAACTCTCCTCTCCCTTCCAATCTTGACTTTTAGTTGTAACTGTTTATCCATTTATATTGCAACTCCCGGGAGATGTCAGCCGGAGGAGGCACCCCAGCCACCGCTTCCTCATCCGCCGGTGGCAGCCCCCGGCTTGGCGCCGCCGTCACGCACCACCGTCGCCGTTTCGCCGACTTCATCTCCGGCGACCACGACATATCCCCATCAGATCACGGCCTCCAAATCGACGGCGTCCGGGAAGGCATCGACGCGGCGCGGCAGTTGGTGGCTCGCAAAAGGGCGCCGCCGGAAGACGGCGTTAATTTTCCCGGCGGCCTCCAGTCTACCCCGGCGCCGCGGTGGAGATCGAAGAGAAATATGCGGCGAGCAGTTATGGGAATTCTTTTGGCATTCATTGCGGTCTCTGTTTTCTTCAAGTTTTCGCTCTCCGTTAACGACAATGTGGAAGAAGTTATTAACGGCCGTTTGGTCCTTCAGAATTTCAAGAACGATTGGACCAATGCGCAGTGGATCGTGTCAGAACCCGATTCCTCTTCTTCTTCTTCTTCTTCGTCCCGCGATCTCATTCGTGAACGTCAAACCCAGGAATTATCATCTGTAAGTTCATTAATTACTCTCTTCATAATTTAATTGTTTTAATTAATTAAGGATGTTTGGTTCTTTGCTCAAAACATTGAAATCTCAAATTCGTGAAAAGCCACTTTTACGTTAAAAATTAACGCTGAAACTTGTTTGTTTTTTTCTTCCCGTATAACGCGCGTTGTGGAATTGTAGCGTTTTGTTTACGGCTGGAAAAGTTTGATTAGATTGGGGGATAGCTGGAGATCTTTCAATCCTTGTTCCTATGTTCCATTAAAAGTTTAGCTCTTTTTTTAAATACTTTCAACCCTAACATTTGTTTTTTCACATCATCAACCAAATCGTCAAAACTCTAATCGTGTCAGGTGTTTCGAAAGGGAAAGGGACGTGCATTACAAATTAGTGCATTACCAAAATAAGACTAAAATATAATGACTTTCTCAATATAGAATCATGATCCATTTGTCTCTAAATATTTGCAACATTTGCTTTTCAGACAGTCGCGATAACTTTTGTTTATTTCTACGTTTTCATTGGTTATTTGATAAAATAAAATATTCTTGACACTTCTTATTTTGAAAAATTTCTCATGTAGTTTTTTAATATGTAAATTTTATTTTTTATTTCTATACCAATATGTAAATAAAATGAATTGAAAAAAATTGACATTTTACTGCGTGAATACAAGTGTAACAAATATTTAGTGACGGAGGGAGTATGTTTTTATTTTTCAATGTAGGACCATTGGTAATTATCCATTAGTCATTATTCAAATAAATGTCCACCATCACTGGACATTATTCCACCCATTAGACATTATTAAGTCATACTTAAAGAATAAAAAATTAAAGTCTTATATTAGAAAATGACTTATATTTTAGTCATTTTTGTCCTATTTAATGTAAGTTTTTCTTACTCATATACCCCCAATCCTTTTTTTTAATCTTTTCATTCGTTTTTTGCCTCTTTGACTATCAACATTTTTATTTTAGATAGATAAATATTATAAAAATGTACTCTCTCCGTTCCTTTAAACTCTTTCCATTTTGACTTTGGGCCAAAATAAGAAAAATGTAATTTTGGTTGATTTTCCAATTTTACCCCTGATGTGATGGATAAAAGTAAGATGTTATAGTTTGGTTATTAGTGAAAAAGTATGATGTGATTGGTAGGATATGAAAATTAGAGACTAAAAGTGGTCTTTTAGAAAGTAGAATTGTATTAGGGAATTGGAAAAAAATGAAAGGGAGAGGATTTTATGGAAGGGGGAGTAATATTTTAAAACTTTGTTTGAAAATGAACTTATTTAAAGCTTAAAAAAGATTAACATAGAAAGTTAAAATGAGAAGAAGTTAAAATGAGAAGATTCAAAAGGGAGAGTGGTAATATATATTTGGTACTTAGAGAAAAAGGGTATTTTGTACTAAATAAACTAACATGTAACTTTTTTTTGGAGTAATATAAATAATTGATTATGTTCAAAAATTGGCACTGTTACTTGATAATTTCGAGTATCGTCCGATATCTTTCTTTCCTCTTTGACTTTGGTGGTCAATTTTTTTTTAAACTTTGACCAAAAATTAAAAATATATATTGAAATGTGATCTAAATTTAATATCAATATATTAATTTTAAACGTTAGTGTAAAATATCATATTTTTATATTCAATATTTATATGTAAACAGAGAATTTAATAGTTAAGATGTTACATTGAAAACCGTTAAAAGTTAAACAGAAAGAATGATATAGGAAGGAGGGAGTATGTATTTATTTATTTTTTAATAAAATAATTTTTTTTGGTTTGTAGAAAATTAATTGTTAAAACTTTGGATTTTGCCTCAATTTGACTTTCATACAATCCATTTAGGAACAAGGGAGTAAGTTGAATATAGTTAAAACAATAAATGTTTTACCCTGTTTATACACCATGTAAATACAGACACTAAAATGGTGTACCTTATTTACACACCGGGTAAACACATACACTAAATGGCTGTGATCACAAAACTTAATTTCTGTATTTGTCTGGTGTACAAATGGAGTACACTATTTTGGTGTAATCCTAACATGATACTAATTATTATTGTGACTAGTTATACATTAAAATCGTTGTCTACAATCACAAACTTGAATTTGGTTTAGGGTATCAGGTTCTCAATAAGAAAAATATACTCCCTCCATTTGGAAAAACCCTTCCCATTTTGATTTGGGGCAAAAATAAGGAAGTGTTAAATTATAGTGAATTTCCAATTTTGCCCCTGATGTGATGGATATATTATTAGAGAAAAAGTATGATGTGATAGGTATGGTATGAAAAAAGTAAGGGTAAAAGTGATTTTTTAATAGAAAAGGGAAGTGTTTTGTTGGAAGTGAAAAAAATGAAAGATGAAGTGTTTTTGAGAACGGAAGTAGTATATATTTGTGATTACTTGTTATTTTGTTTTGTTTTTAAAAAAATGGTGGGTTGGATTTTTATTTTTCAATGGGAATGGGAGGAAAACTTTTGATCCATTGGGAGACTTTAATTTGTTGGAGGCTAGTGTCCGTGTTTGAGGGGGCGTCCACAAACTTGCACTCGCTTAGAAATGTTGACTTTCAGGACTTTTACTAAGGGGCTGTTTGTTTCAACCTCTTAATGGTTCAGATGTCTGAATGGTTCAACACTTAATGGTTCAGACTGTTTGTTTCAGCCTCTTAATGGTTCATATGTCTGAATGGTTAAGAGATTTGCCTCTGAATGGTTAAGTATTATACAGAGTCTGAATGGTTAAGACCTCTTATCTGAATTGATCAGACATTTGGCTCTGAATAGTTAAGCAATATACTAGCTCTTAATGGTTCAGACCTCTTACTGGTTCAGCACTTAATGGTTCAGACCTCTTACTGGTTCAGCACTTACCTATTCAGAAGTTGCCAAACAGCCCCTAAGACTACTACATACTATTCTTTTAGTTATACAGTACGTTGTTTTCAAGAACTATTCAAGACTGGGGTTACGTGACACCCCTCATGGGTCGGTTTGGTGCATCCTCATTTTTTAATAAGATTCCATCCAATATGAGCCATTTTTGGACTATTCATGTTTTTATATATGGATTTAATACTTTTTTTTATTACTTCCTCCGCTTCACAAAACCCTTCCAGTTTTGACTCTGGAAAAAAATAAGGAAAGTGTAATTTTGGTTGACTTTCCAATTTTGCCCCTGATGTGATGGAAAAAAGTAAGATGTGATAGTTTGGTTATTAGTGGAAAAGTATGATGTGATAGGTAGGGTATGAAAAAGTAGGGGTAAAAGTAGTTTCTTAATAGAGAGTGGAAGTGTTTTGTGGAAAGCCAAAAAATGAAAGAGGAAGGGTTTTGTGGAACGGAATGAATATATTTTTTTACCCAAGGAGTATACAATAGTGATTTGGCCAATAGCTATAGGTCATATTTCTCCAGACAGTAGATTATGGAGTATGGCGTATTGGTGTGCATATTTACCCGAATATGTAAACTTACTAACATGAGATGTTTTTACTACTATATATTCTATTGATATACCCATGAAAACTAATTCATTTGTGAATGTCTAGTTTTCAATTTTTTAATTTTTTTCCCTTGATAAAATTTGATCTTTTGGTTCCAATGTGAACATGAAATAAACTCCCCCTCGCTCACAAAAACATTCCACGTCGTCAATGTTTTTTTTAGAAAAATTGGAATGTGTTTAAGGGGCGGGGCGTCCAAAAACTTAGCGCTTCTATTTTGTTTATTTTTCATTTGACTTTTCATAGTTAATATTTTAAAAATATGACTTCTTTTTAATATCAATATGTTCATTATGAAACATAATTTTGAAATATCAAATTTTTTAATATGTATCTATATATAAATAAAGATATCAGTAGTCAAAATCTTATATAGAAAATCGTAAAAAAATCAAATGAGAAAAAAAACAAAATAGACGGAAGCAATATTAAATTAGGCGGGGGCAGTTCCCCCCACTAGTAAAAAAACTTTTTTATATAGTACTCCCTCCGTTCTAGAAAACATGGGAGTTTTGGTTTTAGAAAGAAATTTAAGGGGAGTGTATTTTAGTATTGAATTTCCAAAAATGTCCTTTGATGTAATGGATAAAAGTATGATTTGATGGATAGATTATTAATAAAAAGGTAGGGTATGAAAAAGTAAGGGGTAAAAGTGACTTTTTATGAGAAATGAGAAGTGTTTTTTGGGACGGATGAAAAAAGAAAAGAGAGAGATTTTCTGGGACGTAGAGAGTATTAAAAATATGTGGAAATCAAAAGAATGCCATTTAAAAGAAAGAAACGTTTTGGGATTTTATGTAGTTAGTAGCAAGTCAAGTAGAAACACGACTCAACCCACCACCAATCCACCATTACTCTCTTCGTATACGTGCCAAATAATTTCCCTTTATGTGGCTGTGGTCTAAATATATGTTTGCCTCACATCTATAGTTGAAGCCGACATGTATTTATTTATCAACATGAGATATTTTTTGCTATTTTATGAATACTTCATCAAAGGCATTTTGATTTTAATTAATTAGTTTTAAATTTATATTTTCTTAAAAGTAGTACATTCACTAATCCATAATAATAATAATAATACATCCATATAAAATGTGTGATCCATTTCTAACATACTTGAAGATTTTAGGTTTGTTTTTTAGCCTTAAACTTAGTAAATAGTTTTAATATGGGTGTTTGAGTGACGAATGTGTAGTACACTTAAAAGCGAAATGATTACAATAACGTACACCGAGTGGAGTACATCGTAAGAAATGCAGATGGGAGCTCGATGTTATTAATGTCATTCATTTTACATGGACAAAAATGTAATGTTTTACTTCACTCATCAATTCACTTAATTACCAAGTCTTCTCTTAATGTATAAAAATTTAATTAGTCATTAGGAAATAATTGAATGATTAATATAGCTTAGGTGAGGCTGGTGGCACATGTCTATCAATCTTTCCTTTTATGGCCACTTAAAACAAACTTTGGGGATGTAGACAAATTGGCCGATTATAATAGACCTTCAATGTCCCCATGAATACCAAATGTGTGACACAGAGACACTCATCAATTAAGAGAAACCTAATTTAGCAATACTTCAAACGTTCAAATTTAGTTGTTTAGCTTGTCACTCATTTATATCAATTGAGTATAATTTTTGTATCATATTTGAAGAGTATCTTAATCAATTCATCATAATACTCGTTTTACTTTTTAATATGGAAAATGAACAACTACTTCCTTTAAACAAGAATACAGAGCCAATTGGAAAACTAAATTTGGGTTTTTCTCAAAATTCTCATTTTCAAGAAACATCTTCGAAATGGTAAAAATATCATTCAAATGAATCTATCACTCATTCATATTATTAGTGCTTGTATTTTATCCATTTATTGGATATTTTAGGCAACTCATCATTATTTCTTGAATATGAAAAGTGAAATATGGAAGAAACCAAATAGTGATTAGAAATCATGTGCTCATGGTTCTTTCTTTAATTTTTTTTTCTGTTTTGGTTTTGCAGGTCCAAGAAATATGGAAGAAACCAAATAGTGATAACTATTATCAATGCATTAGTCGGCCGAAGAATAGAATCAGTGAGTAAATTATATTCATATTTTCGGAATTCTAACATTTATATTTCTCAAAGTACAATAATCAAATGAGGTTTTCATTTTTGTTTTGTTTAAAGTTATTGTTAATAGAAGAAGTGTTGTTTGTTCAGGGACAGGAGAAGCCACAAATGGCTATATATTGGTTCATGCAAATGGAGGATTAAATCAAATGAAAGCAGGAGTAAGTGCAGAGTGTTTTTAACTTAATGGATTAGCCTCTCCTATATATTTCCATTCTCTTTGGGCTCGCTATATATGCAAGCTGAATCTTTTCTACGCGTTTTCAGATTTGCGATATGGTTGCCATAGCGAAAATCATGAATGCCACTCTGGTTCTTCCTGCTCTTGATCATGACTCATTCTGGACTGATCCCAGGTTGGTAACATTCTTTAATTAATTAGTCCCTTTTTTTCTTTTTTAAAAAAAAAACTTTGGGTTTTGACTTTTACCCTTTGTTTTCACAGTGGGTTCAAGGACATATTTGATTGGAGACACTTTATAGAGGTCCTCAAAGATGATATAGAGATAGTTGAATCTTTGCCTGCTGAATATGCAGCAGTGAGGCCATTGTCAAAGGCACCTGTGTCCTGGTCAAAGGTCAGGATTGTACATTTGAGGCTACATTTTTCTTTTTCCTTGTAAAACTATGTATTTGATGCTCATTTTTTATATTGCAATGCAGGCTAGTTACTATAGGAAAGATATTCTTCCTGTGCTGAAGAAACATAAAGTCATCAAGTTTACACACAGCGATTCGAGGCTTGCCAACAATGGCTTAGCTCCATCTATTCAAAGGCTTCGTTGTCGGGCAAACTATGAGGCTCTTAAATTTGCTCCTGAGATTGAAGAGCTCGGGAAGAGGCTTGTGGATAGACTAAGGGACAATGGCGAGCGGTACATCGCGCTCCATCTTAGATATGAAAAGGACATGCTCGCTTTCACTGGTTGTAGCCACAACCTAAGTGCATCAGAGTCTGAGGAGCTTCGCTTCATGAGGTACTCTTCGATTCTTGCTATAATTTAGGTTTATTTTTTACAGTGTCAGAGTCCCACATCGAACCTTTAGAGGGTAAATAATGGGTTTATAAGCTTTTGGTGTTATTAATGTCTTGGGGCAGAGTCTAGTCACCCTACCCCATCCAGAACTGGATTTAATTGGTTCTCATTTGATAGGAATAAGTTCTGATACTATCTTTACTGATATAAGATGATCGACTTTGACAGATACCGTGTGAGGCATTGGAAGGAGAAAGAGATAAAGAGCGTCGAGAAAAGACTGGGGGGAGGTTGCCCTATGACCCCAAGGGAAGCCGCTATGTTCTTGAAGGCAATGGGGTATCCCTCAACTACTAGAATATATATCGTTGCGGGGGAGATATATGGGAGTAGAAGCATGGATGGGTTCCGGTCCGAGTACCCAAACGTCTTCTCTCACTCCACACTTGCAACCGAGGAAGAACTGGTGACTTTTTCGCAGTATCAAAACCGTCTTGCCGCTTTGGACTATATTGTGGCACTTGAGAGCGATGTGTTTGTGTATACTTATGATGGGAACATGGCGAAAGCCGTTCAAGGGCATAGAAAGTTTCAAGGTTTCCGGAAAACCATTAGCCCCAACCGAATCAAGTTCGTTCGGATGATTGATATGTTGGACAAGGGTTCCATAACTTGGAATGAATTTTCGCACAAGATCAAGTCGATACATTCTTATGATCGACTTGGAGCTCCGTACCTTCGACGCGTGGGAGAGTCGCCAAGGACAGAAGAAAACTTTTATGCCAATCCGCTCCCGGGTTGCATATGCGATAGATCTCAAGACCAAAGCAGTAAGCTGCTTCGGTCTCAGACCAAGCCCGGAGGCCGAATAGATGTAGCTGCCTCACAAAGATAGTTTTCTCTTTCTTTCATCTTATTACGGATAGGTTGTAAATGGGATCCCTGAAGAACTCAAGATAAGGCTAGGCTCTATGAGATTTTGGCTAACATATTTTTGCAAGCAATGTCTCTACCTGCAGAAAAGGAATAGGCTTAGTTTACACAGCAGATATAGCTATTAGAGTATTAATTAGTTTATTTTTATTATAGAGGATGTAGTGAATGGTTAGGTGGCGCAGAGTAATGCAGAAAGAAATCGCCCATGGATATGAACTTGGATACCTAATCTTTATTCTTTGATTATTTGTGTATTGATTTGTTTCTTTTTTCCCTTGGAAATAGTTGTGTAGTTCGAAATGTTTGTCTGGTATTGACTTTTTGCTGTTAAAACTATCAAATTATATCATTAATTTAGTAAAATTGACATTCCATTGGGTAGTTTTATACTTTTATTAGATTTATCTTATAATATATTTTTAAAATATTATTTTATCTATTTGGTTACTTTTTTTATTTAATTACAAGACAATATTTAATTTTCATTAAATGCTCTAAAAGAGATATAGTACATGGATATAAATGTCCTTACCTTTCCAAAATCTTACTAACCAATTCCAACTATCTTTTACATCTTCCATATTGTGATATTCTCTAAATCTTACTCATAAGGCTCCGTTCCGTTCAACTTATTTTTTCTGATCTGATCTAAGTTTTTGTAATTCTGATCTGATCTAATATGATTAGATCTGATCTGGTCTGATTGTATCTTATCTGATCTGGTCTGATCTGATTGGATCTAATCTAATCTGATGAAATCTAATCTCATCCGATCTGATCTGATTAATTATGATTTGATTTAAAATTCAAATCCATAATTCGATATGACTTTATAATAACTTTTGAAAATTGTAATGATAATTTATATTATAATATAATCAATATTTTTTATTTTATGATCATTTTTAAAGAAATAAAATTAGTCAATTCATGTATTAGAATAATCATTCATATTATAATGTAATTATACAATGTAATAATATTTTTTCGTTTATATTTTATAATGTAATAACTTTAGAAACTCAAATTACAAGTAGAAATAAAAATGTATTTTAAAAGTAGAATTAGATTGACATTGTCAATTTAATTTAAAAATAATTTTTTCGACGTCTAATAATTAAGGATTATTTTCTCAGTTTTCTATTTAACTTGTTTCTAAAGTTTATTCTTTTTCATTTTTAAGAAAAAATTGTGCTTCATATCAATTTATTTTTCTCTGCATAAATTATAACCGCACAACATTTTCATCTTGTTTCTTATATTTTTTCAAGAGAAATTAAATTTAATTTTTGAAAGAATCGTATCAAGTAAAACAAGTAAAATGTATGGAGTAATAACGATTATGATAATGATGATGATAACAGTTCGTAATAATAATAATAATAATAATAATAATAATAATTCTTGATTAGATCTAATCTGATCTAATTTGATCTGGCCTGATCTAATGAGATCTGTTCTGATTAGATCTGATCTGATTTTAATAAGAACTAGAAAAAAGCAGAAAAATATGTTTAACAGAACGGGGCTTAATTTTCGTTATTTCCCCTTGATCAAAACTCTATAACTTCCTCGAGAAACACCAAAATAGCACTTTAGTAGCACTTTAATATTCAAAATAGCAGTGCTATTAGTTTTTGAGATGAATTCACATTTTTGTCCTTAAATAAACACCTAAAATTGAATAATCCCGATTAGGTTAAGAAAAGGTTTTTAACCTACGCCACATCACAGTAGCCTTACGCGGACGTGAGCAGCCAGCAGCCTTATGCGGACGCCATATCACAGTAGCCTCATGCAGCTGCTGAACGCAGACGTGAAGCCTCACGCGATATTACACGGCGAAGGCAGCAGCTTCTGAAAGGAGACCCAGGGTTTCAATGGCAAGCGAAGATGCACTGGACGAGATCCCTCTCAGCAAAAGATTGGAGAAAATACAGGTATGCTTCGTTTTGGTAGTGAATTTGCTTCTAAAAAAGATTCTCATACGGAGTTTAGAAAAAGTTTTTTTCCCCTAGGATGGCAGTGGGGTTTTTTTGTTGAAGGTTCACTGAAATGTGTGTTTTAATTTTCTGCAGTGTGTTTTAATTTTCAGCAGTGTGTTTTTTGTTTCCCTTATGTTCTCTGCAGTGTATTTTAATCTTTATGGGTGGCAGTGTATTTTTGATGTACGTAATGAATTTTTTCTGGCTTTGTTGAACTCGTTTAGTGTTTTTTTGTGAATAAAGGGCTAATTGAATAAAGGGCCTTCCATTTGAAACAAAAAATTTAGTTCTATTTTTTTTATTGGACCATTCCATATTTCCAATAACTACAATTTAATCATTTTCACGTATGTGTTTCCCGTAACTGATTTATTTTTTGGCGTTTGTGTTTGTGGATGTGTGTGTTTTTTTGGGCAGTGTCATTTTAATGGTTTATGTTTTTGAAAGTTAGACATAATTGATATTCTTTTTTGGTTTTTAATGTTTTGGCAGAGTGTTTTTTGGGATATTCCGTACTCCACTGAAAGTAATTGTTTTTTTAGTGTTTTTGGTTGTGTGTTTTATTGGGCAGTGTTGTTTTTATCTGTTTCGTACCGGGTCTTGAAATAAAGTATTCTACCCTAAAGGAAAACAATAGTTCTTTGGATTCCAAGTTACTAAAGTGATCAAACTGACAAAGATTTTTTTTGGGTTTTTTGGATTCGGATGTACAAAGATTTTTTTTTGGATTTTTTGGATTCCAAGAAACATTTGTTGTCAGTGTGTTTTTTTGGGTTTTTTTGTTCTCTAGTGAAACATTTTTTTTTTGGGTTATGTCGTTTCTTGGTTGTGGATTTGTTTTGGGTTTAAGGGTTTTTTACTGAGACAGTCGAGATTTTTTGTTCGAATTGTTGGCCGTGTGTTTAAATTATTGTTGGCAGTGTGGTTTTTGTGAAAAGGTAGGAGAATGATTAAAGCATTAAATAGTACACAATGTTTACTGACTTTGAATTTTGTATACAAATGCAGGTGTAATTGTGGATTTGTTGTATGTTTGTAGTGAAATTCGCAGAGTTTCTAATGATGGATTTAAGCGTACATGAAGTGCAGTCATGTGACATGGAAGTTTACCGGGTTAAAATGACAACAGAACTTTTAGCTTATAGCTATGAGAGGAAGGAAGAATCTAGAAAGCAATAGACATTTTTTTGTTACCTTGGATATTTTAATGTTCGTATGACAGCTGTTTGGAGTTTGTTTGTTTAAGTTTTTTGTGGTATTCATGATTCTTTGTTTTGTTTGAGTAATAATTTATGGGCGTTTAATTAATAAGTGATTTGAGAAGTGGATTAGTGGAGAGTTTTTTTAAGTCACACTACCAGAAATTATACAAGACCATGACCATTCCACACTTTCAAAATTGTTTAGGCAGTCACTGCACACTTTGTTTGATAAAGTTCAATATACACTGCAATGTATGCACACTCTTCACTGCCACATTATAAATAAGTATAAAATTCTAAGCTCTTCATTGCCACAATATGTTTGAGATTGAATTTAGTGCCCTAACACATACAAATCTTCTCAAAAAAAAGTAGAATTCATTTTAATTCGTGAGATTTAATTTTTTACGGAAATTATACACTGCAATATGTAATCTCTACAATGCCAGAATATGTACTTCCAAAAATTCAATATGTAAAATACATTGCCACAATATATACATTGCCACAAAATAAACACAATGCCAATATCTCACTGTCTGAAATACACTTCCAGAATATATACAGTGCCGCGATATATCTACACTGCCACAATATATACACTGCCAAAAAATCACTGTGCTATACTTTGAAGTAAAGCTTCCATGAGTATCCCATGTCCCGTCAACACGTAGCAATATCATCAAATTTGAACTCATCTGTGATGCTCCTATTGAATAATGAAATAGATAACATACTATTAAATTAAGTAAATAGAGGAATGAACTCAAATAATAGACATATAACCTAATATAGACATTTAGTCAAACACGTGAAGAAGTTGAAAATCATGTCTCCTAACCAATTATACTATGCACCTATACTTCACAATGCGAACTTTAGTTTATTAAACGTATACATCGCACAACACAGTTTGAACTACACTATGTTAATCTTCAATGGAGCAGCTTTGTTTTTAATAAAATTATGCTAACTACTTAGACATAATTAAGACATTCTCTACGAAGAAAAATAGGAAATAAATAAAACTAAAAATGCAGGACAACATTTAGGCATTTAATCTTCACACTGCCCACACCATAGCACATAATCTTAACACTGCCAAAATCACAATACCTTTCAAAAGACCTAATTTTTCAAAAGGGACAAATACTAGGTATTTCAAAATTGATTTCACACCACCTAATCTTCAGTGCGAAGAAAACACAATAATTAAAACTAAAAATACATGGAAATCCGAATAAAGGGATGAAGGAATGAAAATTAAAAATTGAAGGAGAAGAGAAAATGATTAGCCACATCGATGAAGGAAGCGAAGATAACCTGATGATTGCCGCTGCTGATCGGCCCAGGAATCGTGGGAGAAGGCTTGAGGACGCATGATCGCGGGCGACTGAAGGAGAACGTGCGGCCGAGCGCAAGAGAGTACGTGCGGCCTAGGGAGTGCCGTAATTTTTAACGAGAAAAAGAAAAAAGGTTAAAGGGCATGATAGGAAAGGATTGACACCAAAAAAGTGCTAAATTTGTTTAAAACAATGAGTAGTGCTAGATGCGTAATTTAGGGTGAGTTAGAGTGCTATGTAGGGTGATTTCTTCTCTGAAAATTCAAAACACAAAATATTTTTAGGTATGAAAAAAGTTTTCATAAATAAATGATATTCCAACTATTTTGAATTAAAGTTGCATTTGATCCGAGATGATTGTTAATATAGGTGATATTAAGTCATTGAAAGTTATGTAAAAAGGAAGAGAAAGGATGTCACCATTTTGAATTTTTAGAAGAATTATAAAACTAGTTTGAATTTAAAAAAAAGTACAGAACAGTTTTTGAGATGGGAGAATTACAAGTTTACAACTAAG